CCCTCCTCCATCTCAGTAGTATTTTAACTGCTTCTGTCCCACGAAAATTCTACTGGCATCTGAATAAGAGGATGGATCACTTGAGGTAATGTTTAAACTGTACTTATATTGATTCCTTTCTCACTCATTCATTCAACAGTACTATTTAACTCTCTCACATCTAAACATAATAACTTTAAGTAGCAACTATCTCAGATAGAAAGAGTAAAGGTAAAATCTATATGGCACAGAAAATTTTAAAAAGGCAATACCAGTGGAAACTTTTTTCATTTTAAAATGGGTGAGGACAGGAGTAGGTCAAAGTGTCTAAGCAACAATCATATTTGTGTGGGGTTATAATCTCATTAGGTCTTCAGTGTAGCAACTGGCCAGTGGGCACTGCAGAATCAAAAGTTCAACAAATGATTAATGACAATGCTGGTCAGGTGATATGATTATCTATACAGATGGCTCTGTGTTGACAGGCAGATGAAGTGCTTGGGACTTCTGAGCAAAAAGAGAATGGTTGTTGTTTAGTGCAACAAAGCCTGGCATATGATATAGAAATATTTAGTTTGGGAATGGATGGGAGAAGGGGGTGGGGTGCCTTCCAATAGCTTGAGAATCAGCTGTAAACATATGTGGTGATTTAACTGACTCACACAGCAAGTTGAGAAAACTGGAGACATGTATGTTCAGTACAGAGTGGGAAGCATCGCTACAGAAGTCACTAGTAGTTAGGCATTCTTTAGATATTTCTTTCAGGTGTCGCCACTGAGTTGGAAAACAAACAGGAAGATATATTGGCTTGTTCTGCAATATTTGATCATACACTGATGCATGACAAGCTAGATACTATAAAAGCCTTTTGGAAGTGAGTAAACAGTGTGGGGGCACAAACAGATCCCCCGATGGTGTGAAGAGAATGGTGGAGTAAGGAATAACTAAGGCATTTGCCTGACGCTCAACACTTAGGGAACAGATAGAATAGAAAGAAATACAAATCAGACTGTTACTGGTACCATCAGAACTGGAACTCTGCACTTGCCGCTGAAGATGGGAACAGAGTACTTATGAGAATATCCCAAGTGCTATGATGTCATTTCTTAACTCATATCTTTTCATTTTTAGTAATTTTGACTGACTGGTACCTTTCTGTCTTTTTGACAGTGTTAGACTGCGCTATGAGGCATGGGACTCACAGCCCATGGCAAGTGTGACTGTTCATCCATCTCTATAACATAAAGCCTGAGCAGTATTGAAGAGACCATATGTAGCGCATACATTATGATCCTTCCCTCCACCTGACTTGTTTACTCAAAAGGAGAGGTAACAGCAGTATGTTTGGAACAAAGCAGGCTGCTGAAGTTGCCAGATCACAAGAGCAAAGCTCTATCAATAACTCACAACAAACACTTACTAAAATATATGTCATTGACAAATTATGATATTAAATTCATTCCAGAACTGCTAATGCCACTAATGGCACCAATTTCCTCCAAAGAATGTTGTTCTGGTGCCTTTTTCTTTAGATAATGTTGTGCCATCATCACTGTCTTGAATATTTGCACCCTATTATCACCAGGCTAGTCAGATTTACCTCAACAGTCTACATGCAGTATAGTTTTCTTATTTTGTTACTGATGTTTTCCAGCTTTTTGTATAACTGTTCTACATTTCCTGTGCCAATGGATTATGTTTTTTAAAAACATATGATTACAGCAGCATGATGATGACTGGATATCAATTATTGTACGTAACATACAACACAGAAGAGGTGATTTGGCTGGACCCTCATTAACCTTTTCAGTCCCAAGTAAGTGTGTTCTTTTATTTGAATCTCAACAGTTGTGTTACATGAACTATAACATTTTAAATTTGGCTGAGCCAAATTATTGAAATCTGGCTTTCAAAGCTACTGCTTTTAAGGTGTATTTCATCTCTGTGAATGTTCAGCCACCTAATGACAATGAATCCAACGATGCCAGTAGCGAGACTGTACAACATAGAAATTAAGTATCAAGATGTGCAGAGGCAGACCCAAAAGAAAATGGACTGAAGGAGTCACAGATAACCTAAGATTTTTAAACATCACAGCATACCAAGCGTACCCTGGCTCAGCAACTGATCATCTGTTACACTGCGAAGCCTACAGGCCCACAGCAAGTATATGGCTAAAGAAGAAACTAATGCAGTCATTAATTTTCCTACATGTTACATGATCTCATTTTTGTGGAAGTGCAAATAGATCATTATGGTGTGGAGAGAATGGTGCGATAAGGAATGACCAGGGATAATTTGGAAATGCTTCAAGTGCTTTAAGATCAGTTCTAGACTGAGCTAAACTCCTATCTTACAGACAGCTTTTGATGTGAAACATAATGGGACTGGAAGAGTTAATGTGATTAACTGGGTTTAATTAGGCCAGAATGCCCTGGTACTATCTGCCACAGCGAGCCACACTAAAATGTTGAAATGGGTATAGAGCGAGTGGAAGATCTCGGAAAAGATGGAGTGATGGCATTAAGAACAGCCTTACAGAAATGAACATCAGTCTTAATAGTGCTCTTGACAGAGCTCATCAACGAACATTACATCTCCCCCCTACACTTCGATGAGGTACAAGGTGGAAGAGAAGAAGAAGAAGAATTAGGCCTTTGCTTTACTGGAGTCACCATATTGTGATATGTATTGACTGTTTTTTTTTTTTTAAATAAATGAGATGGTGTGGCTGTAGATTTTCCACCCATCCCAAGATAAGAGAAAGGAAATGACTGTTTTAACAGTCTGTTTAGTGTCATCTTTACTGGCAGTATGTCAGAGGCAGAACATGTCAAGTATATATCTGTATTTTCCCCGTATTTACTTATTATCCAGATGTTGAAAACAGGAATTACAAAACATAAAATAATCTTTCCGCTAAAAATTATTACATACTGTGCACCTGAGACAACAGATCATGTCTTCCAAAACTGTTCCAAATAAAACATATCAAGGCAAAACTTTTGGCCAAGAGAAACGTCGGTGCCCGTCAAACTTTACGGGTTGCTGAGAGAATTACAAAAGAAAGTGAAGTTCATACTAGAGACAACATTACAGATATAGATGATTCATTTCAAGCGAACGAAAGAAGAACACAATCTGTGTAAAACTCATAGCTCTATGCTACTAACGGAGTTATCCTACTTTTAATTACCTAACCGCATAAAATAACAATTAGGGAGCTCTAAAACCCTTGAATAAAAAAATAACTGAACAAAACTCTGAAATAAATCAACGTCGGTTAATTATTCAAATAGGAGCGCCGGAATGTTAATGATATTTAGCACACTGTGGTACTCTGTATCTGAATGTCGAAACATACTAATACACCTATGCTGTGCTGTGCCCATGTCCTAAATTCACATATATCTAAGAGTAAGGGTAAGAGCCGTGGCGTAAGACAATTCTTTGCAGACACAACCAATGAATTCAACATTACGCAGACGTCAGCTATGCATTAATCACAATCAAATAATCTCCCATGTCCACATAACATCTGACAACATTTACCTTCAACAATTAGTGCAAAAAGAACGTAGTAAGATAAGGAGGCCCAACTGATGTTTCAATAATGACCACTAATGACAGTTCCATGTCTTGTGTGTTGCTCTTTTCTGTAATTGTTATTTTACGGAAACTTCCGGTTGAAAAGACGTGTACTCTAACGATGGAATCGAGGCCAGCCGCCGGCTAAATAGAATAGATCTAAGTAACCTTAGAAATAAATAATTTTGTCAGTATAAAGATTGCTCTAAAACCCAGATATTATAATTGACTTCAATCAATACACGGGTTGCGCAGTTGTGTATTTGCTCATGCTTTGCTTAATTGTTCTAAACTACTTCAGTCGAATGTATCCCGCGAGAATAACTTTGCTCGGTCTTGGCCAGTCACTAGTTATATGACACTAGATTATATTATATTATTTTCTAAATTATCTGCGTGCTTTTATTTAATTGTAAGAGTGAATCATTTGACTATTATTTACTGCCACATCTTAAACCGTAACAATGGTAAATTATATACATTTTATTGATGCCCTATTTAAATAATTAATTGTACTTGTTTATGGCGTGGATGCGTTTCATCACTATGGAAAAATCTGGCAAGCTGGTCAGACATGTATCATGGAGGGAGCTGTGATGGTACGTGTTATTCGTTAAGCTACTAGGAATTTTTTCCCCGAATCCACCACACAAGTACTTCTTTTAAGTAATCATTGCCTTTGTAAAAGAAATTTAGTAATATAACTGATATGATCAGTGCAGATTTTATATTAATTAGCTTCAGTATGTTTTAAAAATTTCAATCGTTGAATGTAAACAGTGTACAGTAGTCTCGGTTGCCGCCCACAATGAATGACATAGCTGGAATATTATTACAGTTAATAAAATTATTTTAATTATAAATTTTGTGTATACACATACACCTTCTCCTCTATTTACTTACCACCTTTGCGACTTACGACCACACACACACACACACACACACACAAAATAACTGCAGAATAAATAAATAACTAGTAAATAAAGAAAGATAACTAGTAGTAATTAGTACTATAAGTAGTAGTTTAGTAGTAGTCAATGTAGTACTAGTATAACAACGTCAAAAAATTCATGCAATCTGAACCTGATAAAAGAGTTTAGTCCATATGTATTTTTCACTGCGTACAGTAATTATAATTATGTATACATAGATTGCATTTTTATGTTTTGTGTACAGTTTGCATAACCCGTTCGAATGAAAATGACATTTGAAACATATAAATTTTTGACTTATGGCGACTTACGGCTTATTAATGGGAACAAAACTCAGTTGTAAGAAGAGTACTAATAGTAAAAAAAAAAGAGACCCTGTACTCCTTGACAGCACTTGTTAAAAAATTGTATATATTCGGTGTAACTGCTACTATTTGTACATACAAAAAGTAATACTGAAATACGATTTCTATTATAACTACCTATTGTAATCCATTTCAGATTAATCTTCTCTTCTTTGCAAAAAGTAAGGAGATTGTTGGTCAGAAACAAACACAAATCTATTTGCCTAAAAAAACCACAGGCAAGAACATTTTAGAAGGCATACTCAATGAATTTCCTGGGTTAGTAAATATGTCAGTGTATTTCATTCAATATGTTCAGATCTATATGAGTTGTCATCATCATCTCATCATCATGTAAAGTTAGTGACAGGTACTTGACATAAATTCACTTCCATAAAACTCTTAACAGCCTGCTTTTGGTATGTTTGACCAAATTATTGTAGTTTCTTTCCAAAACAGGTAGCTGTTTTGGAGCTAATGCTCTAGTGATCGCCTCTAAATGCACCCAAGGCATCCCCTGTAATACTAATACCAGTATAAAAGTTTGCAAGACAGACACATGTATTGTCTCAGATACATATAAATGTGTGGTTTCAAGGAAAACGGTAAAAAAATAATTTTTAAAAATTACCTTTTCAACGGAAGTATTGGGGTGGGGGGGGGGAGGGGGGGGGAGAGATATTCTAAGGGATATAACATAACTCCAGTGAAAGTTTATGTTTACTGATTGTTGCAATAAATTAAGAAATGCACAATAACCTGAGCCACCAATTTGAAATTTAAATTCAACATTGTAGTCAAAATGGCAGCTGAAAATTTAACATGTGCATTGGTCATGGTTTGGAAGGAATAATCACTTCATTTATTATAAACACACGAAATACTTAAAGAGTTAGTAATTTATAATATAGATATGTGCTCCTTGAGTGAGATATATTTTATAAATAGACTGAATACTTGGCATTAGGTACCAATAACATTTGTATGTTAGCAAGACTAGGCTAAACACCACCAGTGTAAAGATCGTTATGGTGGGGGTTGAATAGTCTTAAGCTGAAATTGACACTAAAATTTAAGAACTCATGAGGAAGTTTTCAACACAAGACACAAAACAAGGAATGTTTTACGCACACTGTGACAGAAAATGAGAGAAACAATATTAACACATTTTGAAGGTTACAAAACATTCTAGGAATAAATTAAACATGATTAACTGGAACTTTCAACAGACAGTTGCATAGTCTGTTCTCAGGATATGCACATGCCTTAATTGCTTTGCTGTGTGGTTGAAAAGGAAGTTGTAACTTATAACACAAGACCTTGTTAAGACAACAGGACAGTATAATTTTGGGTCTGTATTAAAGCACAGGGCACTCTGGCAGCTAGGTACTGGCCAGCAGACCCGAAGGTCTTAGGTTCAAATCCACATCGTGCCAGCTTAAAAAAATAAGAACAAAAAATTCCTTGACCCTACCTAAAATGGATAGAGGCAATGTCCTTGGAAGAAAATGTGGCCATCTTGGTGTTGAACACATCACCCAACAAGTGCTGATTGGTCTGTTAACTATTTATTTGTGCAACATGCTACTCGTGTTAAAAAGGGTTCTTTGCTTACTTTTGTTAGGTTAACAAACTGAAGAAGGATGCATTTTGTTCACAGTTACTAGTGTCTTACTTGTTTTGTACCCCCATTATGTGCATTGATCATTACTTTTGACACAGGATTTTAACGGTTTTATGATTGTTGAATGATCATCATAAAATCATATTCTTTTATTTAATTTCCTGACTCTTAGACTGCAGTTGATAGCAAACAATGTTGTCTTGTCCCTGAATGAAGAGTACATAGACAACAATACAGAAGTGAACCTTAGGGCTGGTGATGAAATTGCAGTCATCCCACCAGTAAGTGGGGGTTAATATTGATGGCTACCAAGTGCGGTGTAAGTCTGTGCCATATGTTTCAGTGATTATTTTGTTATATTTGTTATTGTTTGCATTTATTTTAAAACCAATTTGACACTATTGTCTTCGTCGTCTTTTTTTCTTCTTTTTCTTCCTCGTCCTCCTCCTGCTTCTTCTTCTTCTTCTTCTTCTTTTTCTCCTTCTTTCTTCTTCTTCTTCTTCTTCTTCTTCTTCTTCTTCTTCTTCTTCTTCTTCTTCTTCTTCTTCTTCTTCTTCTTCTTCTTCTTCTGCTTCTTCTTATTTTTTCTTCTTCTGCCCTCTAAAGGATGGTTGGCACATTGTTTTGTGGTTTACCATGAGGCTACAGTATCTGCACCTTTCGGTCCATCACATCCAGTTTTATAAAACCTCTCGTTAGTTACCTTTTACAATGTGCTTTTTTGGGGGCAGTAGGCCTATTCTTGTTTCAATCCCAAAATGAGACTGCAAATGCCCCACTGGGACAGCCATGTATATTCTTCACTCTCAGTGTCTCTTTTTGACATCTCCAGCCACATAACAAAACTACTTTACTTTTCCTCCTGTTCCTTTGAAAGTGTGCCCTAGATTATCTATATTTTGAAAGCACACATGAATGAAAGTGAACTGTTTAACCCATTCTCCTCAAAAATGCAAAAAATATTCGTCATGACTCTGTAGGAATTCCTATTATTTTAAATCCTTGAAAAAAAACACAGCCATTTTACACATGTCACTAGTAAATGTTTAGAAAATTTATATATCTACATGTTGAGATTATATATATAAAGAGATAAAAAATAAATAAAAATAAAATAAAAACTGAGGTGGACTGCAACATTTGTCATCACCGGTTTAAAAATGATGATAACAGGTCACAGCTGAAAGTAAGTAGATCTAGTCTTCCTAAGTAGCAGTTGCTTAAGAAGTGATAGTTTATTTTCATGATGTTCTTGTATAAGTATTTATGTCTTAGTCCGTATTAACTGGTAAATTAAAAAATTTTAAAAACACACTTTTTTGATGATACAAATTTTGTTTAACTTCCTAATTATTTATAATAAAATATTTGTTTTTGAAAAATTATTTGTGCATGGTTGTTTATCTTTTTTGTGTGTGTGTGGGTCTGGTATGCTACTCATCAGCCAGTTTGACTTAAGAGACCTTGCCCCGTAGCTTTGCTGGCGTAGATCTTGAGAAATGTAGACCCCCTCAACAGCCAGCTCCTGGAAATTAAAACAGTCTGTTGGATGTTGACCATAAAACCCACCAACTGCCAGTTAGTCTATAATATATTGTGTATAAATACTAATGATGTTGCACTGAAGATTGCACAGGACAGGTGAGCATGGAAAGTCCTCTCTGAAGCCTCATGTGCCACTAGGCATAACGAGAACTGAGGATACTAATGATGTGAATGGAAGACACCGTGGTGTAGCGGCTAGATGTGCCTTCGAATCTGAAGTTCGTGGGTTGAAATCCACATAGAGTCAGATTTATTTCAAACATGACTGATTTCCGGGTCGACCTAGCCTTAAATTGGTTAAAGGCAGCCGGCATAATGCTGACTACATCATCCATCGAGGTCCAGTTGGTCTATAAAAAGTATGAGTCCAGCCTTGAATACCCTTTGCTGCACTGGCATGTGAATTGACCTTTATTCTATTTTATTTTAAATTTTAATGGTGTGAAAGAGGTCCTTTACTGATTTATTTATACTATTCAGAATATACAACCCAGCCTTAATTGGGTACCAGGTACAGTCCTGGGAAGTAAAGGCAGCCAGCATGATTTTGACCACATTACCCACAGAGTGCCAGTTGGTCTACAAAATATAGGTCTAACCCTGTATGCCTGAAGGCTTGAAACCAGTCCTTTACATTTTAATTTTATACTTTGGAGAGGAGAAACTTCATCTCTGGCCTTATCTTGAGTGTGAGCTTTGATTCCCATGCCTCCCTGTAGCCCAGTATAACACTGTCAATAGGAAAGATGCAGAGGTGCCAGTAAACAAACTTGTTTACTTACTTCAGCTGCCAGGTCATTTTTGTAAAATTGTTAGGTGTATTTTTTCATCCTTACGCTGATTTCTGTTCTTGATGCTTTCAGACTGCAGAATCTTTGAGGCTGATTTGATACCAGGCAGCTACAGCATGGCATCAGAAGCAGTGTTAATATGGAAACTACATTTTTTGCATATATTTAAATTATAATGTAGGTAGACTACATGAAAATGTATGTATGGATGGATATGTGTGTGAGCATGTAAGAGTGTTTTCCGTTGTATTTTCGAGTGTGTGTGATTGTGAATATATGAAATGTGTATTCATTTTTGTCAATATATATATTTTTATATAAACATAACATGCAGTTGTGGTCTGAAAGAATTGTGCTTGGAGTAGCCGAATGTAAGACGGGCTTGGGTGCCCAATTTGTAACCCTTTGAGAATAAAGTTTGTTAGTAAAGATTTTCTCACCTTTATGGAAAAGATTATGTCATCTTTAACTCTTTCACTTCCAAGAAACACATCATACTTCCATAGATGGAAGTCAATGAACGCAGGATAAACCAATTATACATTTTCTCTTTACCACCCCTTTGATGCCCCCCCCCCCCCCCCCATAATTAATGTGGTTGAAGAAAATCATAGCCTTGGTTCAAAGAATATAAAATAATTGTATGTGTTTTATTAACCATTTTGATACTAGATCAAGTCTGGAATAATTAGTGAGACAATATCTTTTAATATTGAAGCACACTAAGATTATTTCATTTATTTAAACGTGAAAGAATGCACAAAGGCATCCAGTTTATTAAAATGGCATGTGTAAAAAGCCTTTATTCCACAGAAGATATATAAAACTATACAAAGTTGCATAGTTAATGTGGCTGAAAAAAAACCATAGCCTTGGTTCAAAGAATATAAAATAATTGTATGTATATTATTAACCATTTTGATGTGAAACTAGATCGTGTGGAATAATTAGATAAATATGTTTTAATATTGTAACACATTGAGTTTATTTCATGACTTTAAATGTGAGCATCTAATTTATTAATATGGCATGTTTTTAAATTAAATTTATGCAGTTATGGTAAAAACAGTCTGTTGTGTTTAATTTAATTGTATGTGTGTATGTTTTTGATTATTTGCAGCATCTTCTATTTTAGTATGTGGATTAGTTTTGAATCATGCTGATAACTCCAGTCCATAACTGTCTGACTTGTACCTGCCATTTTCCCTAATTCTCTGCATTGCCTGCACTGATATATCTCTGCATTCCTCCTTTATGTGTGCTATCCTTGGTCATTCTCTTCTTCATTGCCTATTTACTTTGCCTTGTATACTCCCTTTGATAGTAGCCATGGTACTGTAGTGATAAGTATGCTTGCTTGTCAAAACACTGACCAGCAAAGGCAGGAATATAAAATGATTATGTGCTGTTCAGACATGCTTTTGCTTTGCAAAATACTCACAGAAGGTTGCAATTTTTGTCTGTGAGAGCAGTGCCCATACTGGATGAGGATTGTCCTAGCCATTGTGCCTATAGAGGCATCCTCTGCCTAGCACAGTTAATGTGATGACCAGTATTGAAAACTTCTTAACTGCTAACCATGTTTATCTATCACTTGCTTGCCATGAATTCACATAACCCTGATCAGGAGGCTAAGCGAGTACTTTACCCCTTTGACATATTAGCATGGAGAATTGTCTGTGTCAGAGTTGATTGTTAGTACACAAGACAGAAGGTTGTGGATAGACATGACTACCAGTGCACATGGCAGGAACTTTAGGAAGATGTGCTGTTCTCCTTATTGACAGTATCTACTATGAAGCTAGTTTCCAGTATTTGCTTTGGTGTTGCTTCATGACGAATGGTGCAGTAAGGAGTGACCATCTGAATTAATTGAAATTGGAAGTCTGTACTTACTGCTGAAGGTGGGGACTAAGCGCTTATGACCACCACCAGAATGTTATGTGACATTTTTTAAACTCATTTTGAATGTACTTCATTGCTCTAAGAAGTATTGTTTGCTCTATGACATTTCCTACAGCCAAACAGTCCTTGCCATTCTCTGGTAACACTATATTAGCTTGTTCATTTTTGACATCCATGATTTTCAGTTTTACGGCCCCATTATAGAAGGAACTATTTAATTCTCCTGTACTTGTTATTATCCTGAGATGATAGTCTGTGAATTTGCAAGGAATAGCCTTTCAGTATAAACACAGTACCCGTGAATAACTGATATGTTTAAGGTTAAGGAAATGTGTTTATTTTGGTTTCCTAACATTAAAAATTATGTCCTCTGTTCATTTGTTTCCCATTTCAGTGCCTGAAATAGAATAGTATAGATTAACATGGGAGAAATGGTAAGCTTTTTAAAGTTGAGGCAGTGGCGCGGTGATTTATGTCACAGGCGTGAGGGGAAGTTAAGTCCAACATGATGTGTATAAGGAGATACTCCGTACGTCACTCGGGCGCCAGTCCTTTACTATCCTGGTTGTACGGAACCTCACGCAAGACCCCTACAGCACGTCCTCGTCGTGCGCCACGGATAATGTCTCAAATGAGCATTAACAGAGCTGTCAGGGGATCTCGGAGTTTGGCGGCCCCCAGAGGTGATGTGTCCTTGTGGCTCTCACCAGCCCGCCCCCAAACGCTTGGGGTGAAAAATGTTATCAAAACTCATTAGGAACATGAGTAGGTTCGACAAAAGTACAGCTAAAATCACAACCCTTGGTTAAAAGACTGCTGAGTAAAGAGAACATTGCTCAATGCTCATCCTCGGTTAATTCTCAGTGTCGTCGTCACCGCGCTGAGGTGCAACACAACAGAAACCATACATGGGCTGGCCATCCTTGTGCATCCTCGGTTGGCCCTCAGTGTCGTCACCGAGCTGAGGTGCACCACAACAGCAACCATCCATAGGCTGGCCAGTCACGTACATCCTCGGTTAACCCTCAGTGTCGTCGTCACCGCGCTGTGGTACA